TATATTTAATAATATTATTTATTTAATATATTATTACATGTTTTCAAAAATTAAACCACCAAACGCAGTTTCAGTTTTTTTTAAAACTGAAATCAATCTCTAAATAAAACTACCAAACACATTTTTAGAAATAATTCAAAAATGAAACTAAAAACGTTTTCATTTTCATTTTCGTACAGAAAATAAAAACGTTTTGGAACCAATTCCAAACGCACCCAATATGTCCGTTGCTTTCCTCAATCAATTAAAATGGTCCGCTCCTTCTATTTAATACACCTAAAAAGACAGAAATACCCTTCAAGACGATACAAATACATCTCTTGCAAAGGACGGTAAGAAAAAAAAAATCTTGATATATGATATTTATGAGACATTTATAGTTCATGGATTAGAATCATGTGATTAGAATTATTTTTAATTTATGTGTATTTTTTGTGAGAGAAAATACTATAACAAACCATGACTTAAATCATGATTTGAATCATCCAACCAAACATCCCCTTAATGATATGCATCCCCAGTAAAAATCCAAAATTACGTCTCACTTTTCCAAAAGAATGAAACGGAACCGTCCAAATTTTCTCATCATGCATCTATAGCGTCCTCAAAATTGTTCACACAAAATAAAAAGAGAGCGAAGTATGAAAATAATATAAACTTAAAGTTGAAACCTGAAATCAACTTAGCGCTCGTTTATTAGTTTCGTTTAAATTTATAGTTTTAATTATATTACAGTGTATTTTTCTCATATAAATTTGAATATTAAATGTCAAAATTATTAATTATTAATTTAAATGCATGAACCAAATGAACACTTAATTTTCTTCCATAACCTACCGTGAAAAAATAGAACTACTTCAAAGGTCATTTCTCTCTTTTCCATCACAGTACAAGATAAGCAAAAGAAAATTCAAAAAAAAAAAAAAAAAAAAAAAAAAAAAAAAAAAAAAAAAAAAAAAACTCATAACCCACAAAAAAATACACCAATACTCAACCTAAAATTATAAATCCCAAACGAACAAGGTTCCAAAGAGCAGGCTTGGCACCGGTGAGATCTAGCATATGGGAGATGCGGTGAGTATGAGATTTAACAACAATGCCTAGATCTGGTGATGGAAAGAAGAGCCACGTGACAAGAAAATCTAGTAGGGAAA